GGGGGGGGTGGCTTATACAAAGGGGGTGCTTATACATGGGGAAATACGGTATTAATTCTACCATGTGAACATAGTCATACTAGTTACTTATCTCTTTCAACAGATCTTCTTTATTGGGTTTCCCAGTTTCTAACTTCCATTTTTATTATTTAACCATTGATAAAATAAATCCCATACCCTATAGCCATGTAGCATGCATGGCCATACCCTGTAGCATCCCATACCCTGTAGCATGCAGAGCCATTTGTGCTATGCAAAGCCATTAGAACTCTAAACCTAACCCAAACTTATCTCACTGCACATGTGTGCGCCTCCCAGCTGATTTTCGGGCCTTTTTCGGCTTCCCAGAGGCTTGAGGGAAGCCTCTGCAGCCTCTGCAGGCCCAAAAATAGGCCCATTTTGTCACTTTCTGTATTTCCGGAAATACCAGAAGTGACAAAATGGGCCCATTTTTTTGGCCTGCAAAGGCTGCAGAGGTTTCCCTCAAGCCTCTGGGAAGCCAAAAAAGGCCCGAAAATCAGCTGGGAAAAGCAGTGCAGGTAAGGGGGCAGCGGGGGGGAGGAGGGGGGAACAGGGTCCATCTCCCTACTTAGCCACTCCGTCTCGTTTAGCAACGGAAATGTTGGGCTCCACTGTGGTCGTAAGTCGAGGGTTTTAGAAGCATTTGTCCGTTGTCGCCGGTAATTGCCCCGTGATCCCGGTTTGTGTCTCTTTTTTTCCCGCCCTCAGGCCGGAAACGCCACTTTTAACCGGGCCAAACTTCTCAACGTCGGGGTGAAGGAAGCGCTGAAGGACGAAGAGTGGAACTGCCTTTTCCTTCACGACGTGGATCTCATCCCCGAGAACGACCACAACCTCTACGTTTGCGACCAGTGGAACCCGAGACACGTCTCCGTGGCCATGAATAAATTCAAATACAAGTGAGGGAAGAATCTGGAGAAGGGGAAGGGCTTGCGGGTGGCGGGGTAGGAATTGACCTGCCGATCTTGCGGCCTGCAGGAAATCCTCGGCTTACAGTAGCTGCCAAGGCTTCCGCAACAGCACGAAGCAGGACTCCTCGTCCCAATAAACCCCTTTTTAAAAAATATATTTTACAGTTACAGGCCTTTATCAGGCTTGGAGAGTTGCCCGGCCGTTATCTTCCAGACGCCACACTGTAGCAGACAATATGCAAGAACAGATCTTCACCCTCATGAACGCCTGCCAAAACCCCACTCCCCTTTCGCTCCTCCTTATTCCCTATGGGAGGGGGCCGTTCAACACCCACCTGTGCCCATACTGGGAGGGGCCGTTCACCATCCACCTGGGCTTAACGACCGTGACACCAAAAAGTAGTTTTCCGGTAAAATCGGGGACGACTTAACCACCCCTTGCAGAACGCCCCGCTTAAACCCTGTTTGCTCTGTTTTCAAGAAGAGATTTCTGTCAGAAACGGGTGTAGGGCCTCCTGCTTGGGCAGGGGGTTGGACTAGATGACCTACAGAGGTCCCTTCCCACTCTGATGATCTGTTAAATCTGTTTCCAGGCTCCCGTATTACCAATACTTCGGCGGGGTTTCAGCCCTGACCCCAGACCAGTATATGAAGATTAATGGTTTTCCAAACCAGTACTGGGGCTGGGGGGGTGAGGATGATGACATCTCCATGAGGTGAGTTGCTGGCTGACCGTGCCTCCGATGGGTAGTCCTTGACTTACAACTGTCCGTTTAGTGACTGTGACTACGACACTGAAAAAAAAAATGGAGTGTTTTCACATTTAATGACCGTTGCGCTATTCGGACGCTGGGCAAATGACTCATATTTGCCGTATCCCGGGATCACGTGTTGTTGGTTATCCTGCTTAGGCGGGTTGGACTAGATGACCTACAGGATACCTTCCAACTCTGATTATCTGTATATCTGATCCCCTTTGGCAACCCTCCAACAAACAAATCCTCGGGGAAGCCAGATTCACAACAGGTTACTAACTGAACAACGGAAGCGATTGGCTTATCCGTCACAGCGAAGAAAGGCCGTAAAGGGGGACAAAAACTCACTTCACAACTGTCTCGCTTAGCAACAGACGTTGGGGGCTCCGTTTGTGGCCGTAAGTCGGAGCGGGTGGGGTGGCCTAGAGAGGGGGAGCTCTCGCCTCACAATCAGGAAGCCGTGAGTTCGACGCTGGGTAGAGGCAGATATTTCTCTCCCTGGGTGCGATGCGAATATTATCCGCCGAACAAAACTTCACACGGGTAACAGGAAGGGCATCCCGCCATTCATACCCTCTGTTAGCTCCATTCAGTTGCCAGACTCCACCCCAAACCAAGGGATTATGGGGTCGTTAAATGATGATTTGTCGTCGTCAGCTGAGGTCTACCTGTACTTTTCTTACACCTGAGATCTTATCTTGGCATGGAATGGCGTTGCCGGCCAGTCTTTCGTAGCTCATGTAAGAGATTGGCACTCTACCGGTGGTGTTTCTACCTGCCTTAGCCTTCCTGGTTTGCTTTGCAGCCTCCAGTCAGGTGCTGCTTTTCCAGCTCGGCTGGGACCAGGTATAGAATTTGAATTTTTATGCGAAATACCCACCTATGTTTGGGGAAATTGTGCCATGCTACGGGGCCAAAAATGGAGATTTTTTTTTCTTAATTAGCATTATTGGGAAGAATAATGTTATCTTCTGGACACCTGTCAGTCTGTATGTCTGTCTGTCTCTCTCTTTTTTTTAAACTTCTTTATGGTTTCTGTGTCGTTTCTACATCCCCTCTGTTGTCTCGTTGACTCTCGCCTTGCATGTAACGTCGGCTTCGTTTTCACTTCCTGTCTGCAGCATTTTTTCCATTCTTCATTTCCAGTTTTGCAACTTGAAGGGCACCTGTCTTCGCCTTTCCACCATATCATCACCTCTTTTTTACTTTCCTCAGCTTTCCTTCCTTCTTTCTATCTCATTCTTATCTCCGCCCCTTTTCCTGTTCTATCTCTCTTGCTTTCTTTGTTTTCCTTACCAGTTCCTTCTTTCCTTACTTCCTGTTCTGTCTTTCTTGCTCTTTCCTTTCCTTCTGTTTTCCTTCCTTCCTATTTTCTGTCTCTCTCTTCCTTCTGTTTTCCTTTCTCCGTTTGTCCTCCCTTCCCAACTCCTTCTTTCCCAATTCCTTCCTTCCTTCCTGTTCTCCCTCTCGTTTTCCTTTCTCCATTTCTCCTTTCACAATTCCTTCCTTCCTTCCTTCCTTCTTTCCTTTTCTTCCTCTTTCTTCCTTGTTTTCCTTTCTCCATTTCTACTTCTTTCCCAATTCCTTCCTTCCTTCCTTCCTTCCTTCCTTCCTTCCTTCCTGTTCTCCCTCTCTTTCTTCCTTTTCCTTTCTCCATTTCTCCTTCTTTCCAAATTCCTTCCTTCCTTCCTTCCTGTTCTCCCTCTCTTTCTTCCTTGTTTTCCTTTCTCCATTTTTCTCTCCTTCCCAATTCCTTCCTTCCATCGTGTTCTCCATCTTTCTTGCTCTTTCCTTTTCTTCCGTTTTCCTTCTTTCCTTCCTTCCTCTCCTTCTTCACCTTCACGTCTCTCTCTTATGAAATCCCGCATGCTCATTTTCCTTCAAAACACGTAACAATTAGAGGCTGGGCCAGCCAGGTAAGATTTTTTTTTTTAAAAAAAAGGTATCTCAGCAAGCCTCGAAACCAGATCATCCTTTCCCCAATCCTTGGAGGGTGCTGGATTCACTCCCTGATTTGAGCCACGATGACGGGAAAAATTCAGAATGATTCTAAATTCCCAAGCAGGCCAAACCCGACATCTGTGCTGGGGAACCTTTTGAGGTTTTAATTTGGAAAAAGCGAGGTGAAAAACCTCTTTCGCTTTTGGACGAAACGGTTTTGAGGCTTGGCCGCTGCCTTTTTAGCTCAGAAATAATATTCGTAATTTTTAAAACAGCGGGTCTTAAACTGAAGCTAAGCCAGGCATCTCTTGGGGTAGAAGAGCAATTTGAAATTTCTAATTGCTTATTTGGAAGTCAAGGCTCCAGGCTGTTGTCAAAACACACAATCTGTATTTTTTTTTTAAAAAAAAAAATGAAGGCCCTAATTTTATTCAAGACTTGGGACAGGCAAAAATTGAGCCGATCAGTTTAAGATCTGCTGTTTTTTTTTTAACAAAAAAAATCTAAGATCTAATCCTCAGCCTTTTGGATTGATGCTCACTTTGGTTCATATTGTGATTTGTAGATTTAAGAGACCCGTTGTGAATAATTCACCTTCCCTATATAGTTCTCTTCAAATAGATGCACCCCAGCTGAGGGATTCTGGGAAATGAAGTCCAACCATCTTAAATTGTGCCGGCTGGGGGATTCTGGGACTGGAAACCAGTCCCCTCTTCTTAAAAGCAGGCTGGCTGGGGGATTCTGGGAATTGAAGTCCACCCATCTTAAAGTTGTCAAGATTAAGGAACAGGATCCCATTTTTTTCCAGGGTGCGCTTCCGAGGGATGAAGATTTTACGGCCTCCGGTGTCCGTCGGCCATTATAAAATGGTGAAACACCAGGGTGACCAAGGCAACGAACAGAACCCTCACAGGTCAGTATTGAGGTGTGTGTGTGTGAGTGTGAGAGTGTGTGTGTGTGTGTGTGTAATCCTACCACGTTGCAGCAGGCACAACAGCGTGCAGGCTGAGGGAAGCTTTGAAAAAAACGGCTGCTTTATTTTGACCGCCACGTTATAAAATAAGATGTTGAGATTCTGAAAAGAGCGCAGAGAAGAGCGACAAAGAGGATTACAACCTAAGAACAGTTGTGGGAATTGAATATGTCTAGTTTAATGAAAAGTAGGACTAGGAGGGACGTGATAGCAGAGTTCCAAGATTTGAGGGGCTGCCCCAAAGAAGAGGGAGTCAAGCTATTTTCCAAAGCACCAAAGAAGGCAGGACAAGAAGCAACGGATGGAAACTCGTCAAGGAGAGAAGCAACCTGGAATGAAGGAGAAATTTCCAAACAGTGAGAACAGTTAACCAGTGGAACAACTTGCCACCAGACGCTTTTAAGAAGAAACCAGGCAGCCATTGGTTTGAAATGGGACAGGGTTTCCTGCTTGAGCAGGGGTTGGACTAGAAGACCTCCGAGGTCCCTTCCAGCTGTGTTATTCGGCTGTTGAACCCAGCCCACCGAGCTGGTTAACTACACGAAGGGAAAATGTGTGTTATGTAAAATCCAGAATCAGTTTCCCATGTTGCAGGAAGTCCTTAACAAAATTGTTCACTCGTTATCTAAGTTTGTACCTTGTGATGACCAACAAAGTCACAAAAGTAGGTAAAGTCCCTTTAATACCTCCAACTTGGCCCCCACAATGTCCAGTTATCCTCGGCTGGAGAGAAAACACTCCCAAGAACAGTTTTTAAAGGGAAGAAATCCAGGCCGAGCCCAAAGTACGTATAAATTTTAAATAAAAACCAACACAAACCACGCTGCGGCAATTAGCGAGACAGGGCAGGATAAGGAGTTGCAGAACACAAAAGATAACGAAACACACACACAGTTGGAAGGACATCAGAACCCAGATAAGGTTTGACAAAGATAACGCACTCTTTGCTTCCAGCAAGGTGCTGTGCGCAAACACCCTCTTTATCCTGTTTTCGCAGCTGCAGCTAATGAAGGGAATCAGGGCCCTTTTCTCCCCCTTAATCCACATTGCTCCCTTATCTGTTCCTCCCTGCGTGCCCTAGGATGCAGAGGGGGTGGGCCTGGGTCTTCCTCTGAGTGCTCAGCCAGACTGTGCCCTTCCCCAGTTTCCTCCACAGCTACCAGAGCCAAACTCCCACTCCCTGTCAGCTGTTCGACCTCCCCATCGGAATCAGATTCTAACAGGGGCATGACCAGGGCCTTGCAAAGGTGGCCAGTTGCAATTGATGCAATAAACCACAGCTAACCCGCTTTCTCCGCTTAGTTCTGGTGTATGATTTCCAGTCGGAGAGGTTTAAGCCGTAGCAAGATGGGCTTTTCAGAAAGATGTTTGGCCTTTAGGATACGGGTGCCAATTGCTCTCCGTCTCTTGTCTTCCCAGGTTCGATCTGTTGATCCGGACATACCGTTCATGGAGCCAGGACGGCATGAATTCTCTCTCCTACAAACTCCTGTCCAAAGAGCTGCTGCCCCTTTACACCAACATCACCGCCGATATCGGCACCAACCCTCAGGCCACCAAGATCGGAAAGGGCTCCCTCTCCGACTTTGGTGGGAGGGACTATCCGCGAGACAGCACTCGCGATTTCCGTCAGGAGATGCTGCGTAAGACTCCCTTCGCCAAGCTCTCCCAAGCCATGGGATGGAAGGACCCCCCTCCAGAGACAGATAAAAAGGGGGAGAAGCCCACCCCGATCTTAGAAAACCCCAAACCAAGCCCCGGAGCCAAAAAGAGATGGAAAGGCTCTGCGGCTTCGACCAACAACAAGGTGGAAGCCACCCTCGAAACGTTCAGCAACACCATCGCCAGCCCGGAAGTCCCCAAGCGAGTTCTCAAGGAGAGCGAGAAGGAGACAGTCCAACCGGTACGAGGAGGTTTCTCTTCGTCGCTACCTTCATCCGGACACGCCGCGCCAAGCTCCTCTCTCCGACCTGACTCTACAAATCGCACTGGTGCTAGAACTGCAGATTAAAAGATTTCAGATGATACCCAGATCGTCAGCCCGAGGTCAAAATTTAGAATTATTCTCTCGTCCCCAGCTCGGGCGTTTGGGAGGATATCCATCGCTTTTCTCCCCGGGCCAATGGAGCAGAAGGGCCAGACGGAGGCAGAGTGGACAAGCCAAGGGGCAGGCGAACTGGGGGGGGGGCGGCAGGACAGCGTCGGGAATCCTTCGAGGATTCGCTTCCTGTATCTGCGGGGGGTTGGTTGATCCTTTCTTCCCGGATTGCAGGCGATCGGACCCAAGGACCCGTACGTCTTATCTCGCGCTTTGTAGGACATGGAGGTGACTGGAAGCACAGGAGGGATCGGCTCGGGAAAGAGGTCACTTCTTGCACCTGAGATTTCTGTGGATGGATATTTTGGGGAGGCGGGGAGTAGGGGGGGAACTCCGCAGCTTTGGGGAAGAGCGGTACGATGAAAGCCCTCCGGCCCTCACTTGTCCACTTCGCACCTTCGATTAAAAAAAGGGGGGAGGGACTGAACGTTGCCACTCACCCCTCCCCGGTGCCAGGAAAAGCATCACTCGACTTTTGTGAATTTGGAATGGGGGAGTGGGGATCTTCTCCCGCCCCAGCTGTGCCTCCCACCCCCACATCCAGCTGGGATCCAGGAACGGAGGGAGGGGAGAGATTGTCTGATGAAAAGCCCCCCCCTCCTAAGGACACTCGGATTCTTCTCGGGGGCAGGAAAATCTCACCCCTCCCCGGATTGAAGGAGAAACCGCCCGGAAGCTGAAGCTACGCTGGGTGTCCTTGGAAGCGTTCGCTCGTGCAATCTTGGTTGCGAAATTCTTTCTTCTTCTTTTTCTTCTCCATCTCTTCTTCTTCTCCTCCTTTTATCTTTTTTTTCCCATCTCTTTATTTTCTCTTCCATTTCTTTTTGTCGTCTTCCTCCCCTCTTAACTCCTTTTTTCTTTCTCTCCTTTCTCCATCTTTTTCCTTCTCCCTTTTTAATATTTTCTCCATCTTTTCTTTCTCTTCCTCTCCTCCCTTTTCCTTCGCTTCTCCATTTCTTCTTCTTTTCATCTCTTCTCCTTCCCCCTTTCCCTTTTTCATCTCTTCACCATCTTTTTCTTCTCTCTTCCTTTCTTCTCCGTCTTTTTCCTTTCTCGTCTACCCTTTCTCTCCTGCTCCTCCTTTTCCCATCTCGTTTTTTTTTCTCTTCCTCCTCCTCCTCCCGGGAGGAAATTTCCTTTGAAATTTTAAACTCTGTTAATAAGCTATTGAAGCCGATTTCTAAAGTTTCCGTCGATCTAAAATCCTCTTCGAGAGCTTTTAGAGTCGGACTAACTCAAGATTCTGTCTCACTGGCTGTTCCAGAGGCTTGGATAGAGAAGTCCTCCCTACCGGACTGATGTTTATCACTATCTTAGCGGCTGGGCTGTTTTGCAGATTCCCTGCACCCACCCACCCAATAAATATATATTTATTTCCCCTTTTGCTTCGGGGCTGGTCCCAGCCTGTTCCTTCCATCTCCCCACCTCACAATCTCTAGATCCTCGCCAATGATGTGTAATTTTATTTATTCTATTTACGTAGCCGTTCGCCGTTTTGGAAGAAGTTGGTGCCCTTTCCTTGATTTTTATAAATATATATATAATATATATATATATATTTGTGTGTGTTTTGTTTTTTACAAAAATAAATATTCCCTCATCCAATGAAAACAGCGAGCTATTCTTTCCTCTACGAATGGCTGGCCACGTTAACCCAAGGACAACCGACCGTGGTTTGGGGTCTTATTTTAAATGCTATGCAAACCGAGTTAGGTCTGGTCAACTTGGTTTGGCGAAAGCTAGTTGCAGTCTCACATGGTTGCCCGTCATGCCCCTGGTGGAGGCTGACTCTGAGGAAGAGGAGGAACAGCCGACAGGGAGTGGGAGTGCAGCTCCGGAGGTTGTGGAGGAGGCTGGGGAAGGGCAGAGGCCGGCTGAGCAGACAGAAGAGGACCCAGGCCCATCCCCTCTCCATCCTAGAGCACGCAGGGAGGAGAGGATCAGGGAGAGACGTGGTCTACTGGGGAGGAGAGGGCCTTGATCCTTTTCGTGGGCTGCAGCTGTGACAACTGGATAAGAGGACGGACATGCATATGGGCCAGTGCTGGAAACAAAGCATGAAAATATCCCTAGTTTATTGTTCCTCTCTGAGTTTGGCGTCCTTCCCAGCATGTGTTCTGTTATCCGTGGACGTCCTCCAGCCCTTATCTTGCCTGGTTTGTGTTGTTTTTTTACTCTTTATAATTTAAACAGCATTTCCTCCTCCTTGTGATGGTTCCTTCTCCTTGTGGAGGAGTTTTTTTTGTCTCCAGTCAAGGATATTTGGAGCTTGGAAGCAAAGCGAAGGAATAAAAGGGGCTTCGCCTGTTTTGTGTGACTGTGTTTATTTTGTATCCCACACCCTGGGTCATCACCAGCCCCAGAGAAGAAGGGAGGCTCAAACTATTCTCCAGAGTCCTTGAGGGCAAGATAAGAAGCGACGGATGGAGACTCACCAAGGACAAAAGCAACCTGGAACTCGGGAGGAATTTATTGAAAGTTAGAACAATTAATCCATTGAATAAATTGCTTCCAGAAGTCGTGGCTGCTCCATCGCTGGAGGCGTTTTAGAAGAGTCTGGGCAACAGAATCATATAGGGCCTCCTGCTTGAGCGGGGGGTTGGACTAGAAGACCTCCCAAGGCCCCTTCCAGCTCTGTTATTCAACACTTTCCTCAAGAAGCCCTCGATCAAGAGAGGCCAGATCCCAGGAATCCAGAACTCGGCTCCTCCTCAGGAGACGCCGCCCACGAGCCGAGACACCGCCGTCTGGGCGCTGAAGATACAATCGTTGACGGAAACCCCGCCGTAAGAAGCTCCCACCAGGCTAAGGGGCAGATTGTGTTGCTTCAATTGGGAAGTAGCACTTTCTGGAACAAGAAAAGAGGGGAAGGGAAGGAAAAGAAAGGGAAGATAGAAGAAAGAGAAGGAAAAGAGAGGAAAGAGAAGGAAAGATAGAAGAAAGGGAAAAGGGAAAAAGAATGAAAGAAAGGGAAAATAGAAAGGGAAGAGAAGGAAAGATAGAAGGGAAGGGAAGATAGAAGACAGGAAAGGAAAAACAAGGGAAGGGAAGATAGAAGAAAGAAAAGGAAAGATGGAAAAGAGGAAAGGAAAGAAAAAGGGAAAGAGAAGAAAGGGAAAAATGAAAGAAAGGGAAAATAGGGAAGGAAAGGAAAGGAAAGATAGAAGAAAGGGAAGGGAAGATAGAAGAAAGGGAAGGAAAGAAGGAAAGATAGAAAGGGAAGGAAAAAGAATGAAAGGGAAAATAGAAAGGGAAGAGAAGGAAAGATAGAAGGAAGGGAAGGAAAAACGGGAGGGAAGATAGAAGAAAGAAAACGAAAGATGGAAGGAAAAGAGGAAAGGAAAAGAAAGTAAAGGAAAGAAAAAGGGAAAGATAGAAGAAAGGGAAGGAAAAATAGAAAGGGAAAAAAATGAAAGGGAAAATAGGGAAGGGAAGATAGAAGGAAAGATAGAAAGGAAAGGAAGTCCTCCATTTACGACTGCAATTGAGATCACGATTGCCGTTGCTAAGCAAGGCACTTGTTAAATGAGTCGCATCCAATTTTATGCCTTGCTTTTATCTTGGTTGTTAAGCAAATCTCATTCGTCGTTAAGTGAGCTTGGCCCCAAAAGCCAGGCTTAAAAACTTACCCATGTGTTTCCAGTGGCCGAGTGTGTACTGGGGAATGCAGGACTAAAGAAAGGAAAAAAATTCACAAAGTTCTTTGAGTCGGATAGGAGAATAAAAAATAAAGATTTCTCTTTTTTTTTTTAGTTGCAAAGTTGCAACCTTGGATTAAGAGGAGCATCGCGTCTCAATTAATGCAAATAAATCGTTCCAGGCTTCAGGGAACTTACCTGATGGACTTTAACAATGGAGCGAACAGGCTCCGCGGAGATTCCAAGGTGCTTTCGAACAGCCTCCTGAGCTCTGCTTAACAACTCGCTGTGAGGAATTGTGTCCGGGTCACCCAGGTGTGATGTAAACCAGGCGCCACCGAGCATCACCTGAGAATCAGAAACATAAAAACAGCCACCTTAAAGCATGCTGGCTGGGGGATTCTGGGAGTTGAAGTCTATGCAT